TGCGTAGGTAAATGGATGAGTGCTTACCTATTCTGTCTTGCAAATAGTTGTTGCTACTACGATCCCAACGAACATTCTTTTGAGAAGGTTCCTGATACCATCCCTGTGCATTCCACTGTTTCGGCGTGTATGTGAACACATTTGGGACTAACAAGGTTTACTAGAATCCCACCACTCCACCACAGAGTCACCGCAGTAGACGTTAGATGAGCGCTGTCGCTCTGCGGCACTTGTTAAGCACACAATGATAAAATCGATCATTAGTCGATCATCCAGTCGTTCACTAAAAGTAAAAGTGATGATTGATCTGGATTTTTGAACCAGTTTCCAGCACTGCTATTAATTTTTCTTGAAAAGGGGTTGTCACTGGCCATATTCTGTGGTTTGTTCTGTTGTCCCCCTTTTCTCTAGACTGGAAAATTTGTTGTTGCCAGTTGCTATGTATTTATTGTCTGTGTTAACTACGTAGAGGAAGTAGTAACTGTCTAGAACGTAGAAGTAAAACACGCAATAAGTTGATTTCAAAGAGTTTAGACAGATGAATATTTTGCAGGAGATAATGTGAATGCCATCCAAAACTCGCAGGGGCCTAAAATCTGACATTTGTTGGAGTTCTAATGTACTCCTCAATAGGTCTCTGTTTTATTAGAGGGGTGCAGCATCTGAATCAACCTGTATTAAGATCATTAACAGCAGGGGTCGAGGGCGGAACTTGATCCTGCCTAGGTCCTTCAAATTGCTAACCATTTAATAATGGTGACAATTTTCCTATTCGGAATTCCCTTATTATTTTTCAGGAAAACGGATACAGGAGTGGATATGCGTGATAGTCTGCTTTCTACTAGTTGTGTACAATGGACTGAATCTGTATAGCTACTTTAGGATAGAGCAGTGGATAACCATCTTAATTTGTGCAGGTAAGCCTTTACCACATTGTTATGTTGCAATGTTCGCTTATTCTTAATAACCCTTCTCAAAACTGAACCCATACCCTAAGCAGTACTTTGTTCAGATATCTAACCTGAACCTCATTAGAAAATAGCCGAATAGCCGCTAGCCGCTTATATAGCAATATTAACTAACTGACTGGCTGGCGGATGTACAGACGGAATTGTAGATTTTTGGAACAATAGGGAACTGATACATTCATAGTATCAGAAGTAGATAATAGGGAAGGTGTGTGACTTCAATAAACAAGGGAAATTCGTCATTTACTAGCCTTAGAATACCTACGATTTACTACGCGTAACTCAACCAACTTGAGCTCAAATCGTGCACAGTACATTCGCCTAGCATCGTGCGAAATCGTTTCCTCGTATACACCCGCAATCCGGAGATACAGACTAAAACGTACGACACGATTATCCATTCTGTTGCCAGCAAACCGAATGTATAAACCGCCTAACTTGAAACAAAAGGCAGCTACTAGCGAGCCACACCACAGACTAACGGATAAACAGCACTGATCTCTATAATATATATTATAGGCCTATGATATATATGATAATCAATAATAATAATAATATTATAAGACATATTATACTCTATGATATATATTATAGCTAGAGATCAGTGATACACAGACTGGACGAAACGCCAAAATGGTGTAATGCAATTGAATGGTTGCGCCGCCCAGCGAATGGAGCGGTAGGTACACTAAAAATCTGGCTGTGGTGACACACCGTGGATGTGTAACGTTGTAACATTAAAACGTCTCTATCGTTAATTATAATATTTGGACTGGAGTTTAATTAAATACGTTCATGAATCTAGAAGGTCAAATGTTAGTCTTCAAGTAGATTTTGCTCTATTAAACGGCTGTACATTTATTTTTACATGCAAAACGTTACGATCATCCACACCGTATCACAGACTAATTCACAATACACACAATACATCAAAATGCGTAATGTGCACACGGTATACTGTGCTACAGTCTGTAGTTTAATTTATTCCTCAGTCTGTGACCAGATTTTGTGAGATGTTTGTTTTTCTACAAACAATAAAAATAATAAAGACGATAATTTCCATATTTTTTACCCAAATACCATTAATCCCATTTATTGCTAAGAAGCTTAATCACAAGTGCTGGAGCTTCGATCAGCAATTTACGATTCTGCTTGTTTCTAGGTTCGGAGTGCAGGAGGGTTACTGACTTCTATCAGAGATGGAACTGCATCCTTTCTTAGCCTCTTAAATTTTTTGACTTGCACTTGTGTTTTTAATAAAGGTGGAAGGGATCGGGTAAAGGAATTATGGCTAATAAGGTAAAATACAGACAGTTTAAATTTTTTATTAGCAAAATTATTCAGCATGAGTTGGTTTAGTTTTGATATTGCCATAAGCAATAATGATATACTTCAGTGCCCAGCAGTGAATATTTCTCAACCGTATTTTTCTGTTCATGTATATTTCATGAAATCAAGCCTGGTACATGTATAACGACCATGAGTCACACGACGAGAAGCAGAGAAAGCAATGTATTTTACTAATTTCCCAT